TGGTGTGATAGACCCCAGCCTCTATGGATCTTGTGCTCAGAGCTTGTTTCTGTGCTGCCATGATTAGTGCCTCTGTGCTGTCTTTCAGTCCAGCCACCAATAGGATTTCTGGACGTCAGCCACTTCCTCTATCTGGCGGTGGTACATACCGTGCAGGGGCCTGTCCTTCCATCATGGTTCCTCCCCTTGCAACTCTTTTTTGGGTTTCTGCTGCCTGAGGTATTCACTGAGCACGGAGTCGGTCATGGCCATTTTCCTGATGTACTTGTGGATGTTTTGTTGTTTCATCCTGGACTCTGGTACTGATACTCACCAGTCCTTGGCCTTCTTCCTACCGCTTAGGATACAAGTCAAGTCAAGTCAAGTCAAGTCAAGTCAAGTCAAGTCAAGTCAAGTCAAGTGGCTTTTATTGTCATTTCAACCATGTACAGTGGTACAGTACTGAGTGAAATGAGACAACGCTCCTCCGAGACCCTGGAGGATACAGACACAAGACAGTGCAATGGAAATGTGTGAAATGCTGAGTATTGTGCAAAAGTAACTTGCTGTCTCAGGGCTTGCAAAATTTCAAAATCCCTGGTAGCCCTTCAGGCAGGCACTCTTCAGTTTTCAGTTTTTTCAGGGACTCTGTCGCTGAGCCATGTTTCTGTGATAAAAAAGACGCAGCAGTCTCTAAATTCCGTCTGCGTGGTCTGCTGGAGTCGGATGTAGTCCAGTTTATTGAGAGGAAGATGGATGGAAGAACCGGTTGGCTTGGATTTGCTCTTAGCCTATTACGGACCGCACTTGATCCACTTCCGCTTCCTCACGCAGCGCTTTCGGCAACATGTCCACTGGCCACCAGCATCAGACGATGAAGGACAGAAGGCCCGGTTTCCATGGCGACCCGAGGACATGCAGCGCTTCCAGTAGTTCCGGGTCAGTTTTTGTGTGATGCTTGTAATTTAGAAGTGTTTGCCGTTGGTAAACATGAACACCGATTGTTCTGGATAGAAAGCCCAAAAGTACAAAAACAGCACAATTTGGTCTTGAGTGGCCGCTGCTGTTCCCACGCCACCAGTGTGCTGCACTTGGGGTTAAACATGCATGGTAAGGAGCTTCCTTGTCTTGATGTCAGTGGCGTCTATCTCCTCCTTTGGCCAGCTTATTATCACAGCAGGGTACCTGATCACAGGCAGGGTGTAGGTGTTGATAGCCTGGATCTTGTTCTTACTGTTCAGCTGACTCCTCAGGACTGGCCTGAACCCTCTGCAGATACTTGATGGTGGTAGCTTTCATAGTGGCCTCTTTGTGGTTTCCATTTGCCTGTGGGATGCCCAGGTACTTGTTACTGTCCTCTCTGTTTGCAATGTTGTCTTCTGGTAGTTTGATCCCCTCAGTTCTGACTGCATTCCCTACACTTTTCCAGTCTGAACGACATTGCGGTGTCTGTACGTTAGGTGGTAGAAAGGAGGCTGGGGACTGGTGAGTGTCAAAACCACAGTACAGGATGAGACAAGGAACATCCACGAGTACATCAGAAAGATGGCCCCAACCAAGCCCGTGCTCAGTGAATACCTCTGACAGCAGAAACCCAAGAAAGAGGAGGAAGAGGAGTAACATTAATGGAAGGACAGGCCCCTGCACGGTATGTACCACCGCCAGATAGAGGAAGTTGTTGACATCCAGAAATCCAACCAGTGGCTGGACAAAGCTGGACTGGAAGACAGCACAGAGGCACTAATCATGGCAGCATAGGAGCAAGCTCTGAGCACAAGATCCATAGAGACATTCCATTTTACTCCAGCTCTGTCTAGCTACTGGTAGGACTTCTGGATGTCAGCTACTTCCTCTTTTTGCTGGTGGTACATACCGTGCATGGGCCTGTCCTTCCATGACAGTTCTTCTCCTTGTTCATCTTCTTCCTTGGACTTCAACTTCCTGAAGTATTCACTAAGTCACGCAATCAGTTCTGGCCATCTTCTTGATGTACTGATGGATGTTTGTTTTCTCATCCTGGACAGTGGTTCTGATAGTCACTAGTCTTCGGCCTCCTTCCTTTCACTTGATGTACAGTCACAGGGTGCCATCATAACACCACCTTTCTGGACTCAATGCAGTAACACTTTCCGTTCTTCACTGGTTGCAAACTAAAGATGCATCCACAAACGGATCTGCAATTAGAAATCAATTAGTAAATCGCCATGTCTGTCTTACTGTTCCATGGTGAAATGTCAAAGCTCATCACTAAATAGGTAAGTGGTGCTGCCTCTGCAGCTATACAAGCCTTTTCATCCCATTTATTTATATAGCGCTAAATTGCATCGACGTCACTTATGGAGGCTTGATATCTTAAGGTAAG